TCAAACACACCTCAAGAGGACAGACAATTATATTATGAGGTGGGATACATTTCTCATCCCATGATCACAAGAAGTCAATCCAAGCAACCCCGAGATGAAACTGACTACTTCGTATAGCCGGTTGACGCGAGGCTTGAATCGCCACAACAATTGGCTGAGACGCTTAAGAGAGACAAAACATCCCACCCGAACGCCAAAACTTACCAACCGTACCTGCGGAATGCAATAAGGTTCCACAACAAATATAACAGGACTATATTATCTTTTGTGGGAATTCCGACAAGGAACTTTAATTGCTAATGTCTCTCTAATCTCTACTTTCTCATTACCCACTTGTACCTTTTATTTCCTTGTACCTTTCAAGTATTTCTAAATAATTATTAATAAAATTAGGAAGTGTTCCCCGACACTTCCTCCACCGCGCATGGTTTGTTCCGGGACCAAAAAAAAGATTAGGATTAGGATTCCTATTAGGATTAGATTAAGATTAGGATTAGGATTCCTACTAGGATTAGGATTAGGATTCCTATTAAGATTAGGATTAGTATTCCTATTAGGATTAGGATTAGGGTTACGATTCCTATTAGAATTAGGATTAGGATTAAGGTTCCTATTAGGATTAGGATTAAGATAAGGATTCCTCATAGGATTAGGATTAGGATTAGGATTAGGATTACTAGTAGGATTAGGGTTAGGATTCCTATTAGGGTTAAGATTACGGTTATGATTCTTATTACAATTAGGATTAGGATTAGGATTCCTATAAAGATTAGGATTAGGATTAGGATTCCTATTAGGATTAGGATTAGAATTCCTATTAGGATTAGGGATTAGGATTAGGATTAGGATTAGGATTAGGATTAGGATTCCTATTAAGATTAGGATTAAGGTTAGGATTCCTATTAGGATTAGGAGTAGGAGTAGGATTAGGATTCCTATTAGGATTAGGATTAGGATTCGTATTAGGATTAGATTAAGATTAGGATTCCTATTAGGATTAGGATTAGGATTAGGAGTCCTATTAGGATTTGGATTCCTATTAGGATTAGGATTTGGATTAGGATTCCTATGAGGATTAGGATTAGGATTCTTATTAGGATTAGGATTAAGATTAGGATTCCTATTAGGATTAGGATTAGGATTAGGATTAGGATTCCTATTAGGATTAGGATTAGGATTCCTATTAGGACTAGGATTAGGATTCCTATTAGGATTAGGATTAGGATTCCTATTAGGATTAGGATTAGGATTAGAGTTAGGGTTAGGATTCCTACTAGGATTAGGATTAGGATTAGGATTAGGATTAGGATTAGGTTTAGGATTATGATTAGGATTCCTATTAGGATTAAGATTATGATTTTTATTAGGATTAGGATTAGGATTAGGGTTACGATTCCTATTAGGACTAGGATTAGGGTTAGGATTCCTTTTAGGATTAGGATCAAGATTAGCATTCCTATTAGGATTAGGAATATTATTAAGATTCAAATTAGCATTAGGATTAGTATTCCTATTAGGATTCGGATTGCTATTAGGATTAGAATTAGGATTAGGATTCCTATTGGGATTAGGATTAGGATTAGGATTAGCATTAGGATTCCTTTTTACGATTAGGATTAGGGTTACGATTCCTGTTGGGATTAGGATTAGTATTAAGGTTCCTATTAGAATTAGGATTAGGATACTGATTCCTATTTGAATTAGGATTAGGATTAAGATTAGGATTAGTATTCCTATTAAGATTGGGTTAGGATTCCAATCAGGATTAAGATTAGGGTTAGGATTCTTATTAGGATTAGGATTAGGATTAGGATTAGGAATAGGACTAGGATTAGTATTTGGATTAGGATTCCTATTAGGATTAGGATTAGGATTCCTATTAGGATTAGGATTAGGATTCCTAATAGGATTAGGATTAGGATTCCCATTAGGATTAAGATTAGGGTTAAGATTCCTATTACGATTAGGATTAGGATTCCTATTAGGATTATGATCAGGATTAGGATTAGGATTAGGATTAGGATTCCTATTAGGATTAGGATTCCTATGAGGATTAGGATTAGGAATAGGATTCCTATTAGGATTAGGATTATGATTAGGGTTAGGATTCCTGTTGGGATTAGCATTAGGAATATGATTCCTATTAGGATTAGGATTAGGATTAGGATGCCTAGTAGGAATATGATTAAGATTATGATTCCTATTAGGATTAGGATTAGGAATAGGATTCCTATTAGGATTAGGATTTAGATTCCTATTAGAATTAGGATTAGGATTAGGATTCCTATTAGGATTAGGATTAGGATTCCTATTTGGATTAGGATTAGGATGTCTATTGGGATTAGGATTAGGATTAGGATTAGGATTCCTATTAGGAATAAGATTTCGATTCCTATCCTAATAATAATCATAATCATAATCTTAATCCTAATTCTAATCCTAATCCTAATTATAATCCTAATCCTAATCCTAATCATAATCCTAATCTTAATCGTAATCGTAATCCTAATCCTAATTCTAATCCTAATCCTAATCCTAATCACAATCGTAATAGGAATCATAATCTTAATCCTAATCCTAATAGGAATCATAATCATAATCCTAATACGAACCCTAATCCTAATCCTCATAGGAATCCTAATTCTAATCCTGATTCTAATAGAAATCCTAATCCTAATCATAATCCTAATCCTAATGCTGATAGGAATCCTAATCCTAATCCTAATAGGAATCTTAATGCTAATCCTAATTCTAATCCTAACATGAATCCTAACCCTAATGCTAATTCTAATAGGAATCCTAATCCTAATCATAATCCTAATCCTAATCCTAATCCTAATCATAATCCTAATCCTAATCCTAATCCTAATCCTAATCCTAATCCTAATCCTAACCCTAATTCTAATCCTAATCCTAATCCAAATAGGAATCCTAATCCTAATAGGAATCCTAATCTTAGTCCTAATCCTAATAGGAATCTTAATGTTAATCTTAATCCTAATCCTAAAAGGAATCCTAACCCTAACGCTAATCCTAATAGGAATCGTTATCCTAATCCTAATAGGAATCCTAATCCTAATCGTAATCCTAATAGGAATCATAATCCTAATCCTAATAGGAATCCTAATCCTAATCCTAATAGGAATCTTAATGCTAATACTAATCCTAATCCTAGTCTTAATCCTAATAGGAATCCTAATCCTAATCCTAATTCTAATAGGAATCGTAATCCTAATTGGAATCCTAATCCTAATCTTAATCCTAATCCTAATAAGAATCCGAATCCTAATCCTAATCCTAATCTTAACAGGAATCCTAATTCTAATCCTAATCCTAATAGGAATCCTAATCCTAATCCTAATCTTAATCCTAATAGGAATCCTAATCCTACTCTTAATAGGAATCCTAATCCTAATCCTAATAGGAATCCTAATCCAAATCCTAATCTTAATAGGAATCCTAACCCTAATCTTAATCCTAATATGAATCATAACCCTAATCCTAATAGGAATACTAATTCTAATTTTAATCCTAATCCTAATAGGAATCCTTATCCTATTCCTAATCCTAATATGAATCTTTATCCTAATCCTAATCCTAATAGGAATCGTAACCCTAATCCTAATCCTAATAGGAATCCTAATCCTAATAGGAATCCTAATCCTAATCTTAATAGGAATCCTAATCCTAATCCTAATCCTAATAGGAATCCTAATCCTAATCCTAATAGGAATCCTAATCCTAATTCTAATCCTAATAGGAATCCAAATCCTAATCCTAATAGGAATCCTAACCCTAATCCTAATATAAATAGAAATCGTAACCCTAATACTAAATCCAATCCTAATAGAAATCCTAATCCTAATCCTAATCCTAATCCTAATCTTAATCCTAATCCTAATCCTAATAGGAATCCTAACTCCAATCCTAATCCTAACCGTAATCCTAATTCTAATCCTAATCCTAATAAGAATCCTAATCCTAATCCTAATCCTAATCCTAATCCTAATCCTAATCCTAATCCTAATCCTAATAGGAATCCTAATCCTAATCCTAATAGTAATCCTAATCTTAATCATAATCCTAATCCTAATCCTAATCCCAATCCTAATAGGAATCCTAATCTTAATCCTAATCCTAATAGGAATCCTAATCCTAATCCTAATAGGAACACTACTACAGGAAGAAGCTATTACGTCACACATATTACGACTGTTTTGTGAAACCTGACGTTATAGTGATGGTTTTACACAATTGTTCTTCTCCTGCGTAAGTTCACACAATTGTTTCCTCTATATTTTTGTTCTTTAAGCATCGTATTGAATATGAAGAAGTAATCTTTTATTTTGCAGGAATATGGTTCAAACACTCTGTATTGTGTACACTGAGGCTTTCCTCCTTAATTGTAAAAAGTTGTTATGAAAAAGATGTCTTGGCTCTCTTTACCTTTAAATATATTCTTAGACCAAGTCTCGATGATGTCTATCCAATTGAATGATATATCAAATTACTTAGAAAATGGTTTGAGGTTTATTCATGAAATACTTCTAAAGTTACTCTTGCCACACTTCCTAAAAGTCTTTTCCAGCGTTAACATGTTTTAGGTAAGTATTGTTTTTTCACATTCAATTTTGTGTTACTTTATGGATGTATATTAGTGTAGGTAAAGTGTTTGATAAAATGATTGAAAGGTTGTATTGTATGATTACCATTTCCACTTTGTTAGGGCTTTATATCATTATCTGTTTTCGATAGAACATAATTCAAAGATTTAGGAAGCCCGTTGAGAAAGAGAACATATGATTGCACAGATGAGTATGAACTTATGTTTCAGTTTTTTCTATTAGCCTATTTCTTTGTATTGTTGTTATTTCAAAAAATGGCAATTCAAAAAACAATTGAGTATAATTTCTGAATTTGAATATGCAATTCATCATTTACCATAAGTTTTTTGTTTTTTCTCTCATCTGAATTCTAACTTAATTATTTTCCTTCAATAGTGGTGGCTTGTTAGGTGTGAGGCATCTTGTTTGACTGAAAGGGAGCTTTGGAGAGACACGTGAGTACTACTAGCATAGGTTCAGGTTAGTTTACTCTGTGGTATTTTGTCTTTTATTTCTTTATTAATTTATGGAAAAAAATCAGATTACTTCATAATTCTAAGTCATGTTTATTGATTATTCTCAATGTGTTATTATCTATCTCTATATATAACGAGGTGGAAAATTTGGCAATTTTGCCTCTTAAAAGTGTCACGTGGAAGTTGATGAAGGGTCAAGTCTGTTGAAAGTTGTGCCAGAGTTGTCCATTCCCATAGAGTCAGCTGTATGGACTCTTGGTTGCTTGGGTTCCCATTTTCGAAAAAATAAAAAATATACTCCTCACATCCCGTGTATTTATGTCTTGGAAAACTCAAGCTGTGTCTTGGTACATAGAGGCAAAGATATACTCAGCCGATTCTTCGCAATGTGATGTTTTCTCGTTCAAGTTGCTCTCCTTATGGATTATGTATTTTTCCTAACACTTGACACTTATACTTCTATTTTCGTAGTTTAATTTTAGTGTAGTTAGTTTTTTGTTGTTTATGTGTTCAATCCTTTTTTATAACAGGGGCCTTTAATTTTTTTCAATTGTTGGAACTGAGACCTGTCTTCTCTTTCAATTGTAAATGGATGCTAAAGCTTTAATTACATCTCGAGAGTTAGCTGAATTTAATAATCAGACATTCAGACCCTTGATGCAATGGTGCCCAAGGTATTTTGCAGCCCACAAACAGTTCAAATCAGAATGTTAGATTAATGGCTCTGAATGCAATGGATTAATCAATTTGTGTTGTTTTAGAATATAATACGTTCAGATCTAGGAATGCGCTTTCTTAAAAATAAAATCAGATTAATATGTTCAAAACAGTTCTAATCAAATTTCTATATTAATTTATAACCTAATTTAATTATCTTTTTGGTAAGTATTTGTATTAGATCAAGTGGTGTGATGATCATCTTTAAAGGTGATAATCACCTTTAAAGGTGATGATCACCTTTATTTTGTGTATGAGGTATGATATGCCATTCGAGAAAGTTTCAGAGCAAGTTCTGATATTGGAGTCAGTTTCAAGGAATAAGCTTACTACTTGCTTGGCACTTTTGAAACAAGGTAAGTTACTAATCTATTGTTAATCCAATAATTTAACAAACAACAATCATAACAAGAAGAATAAGAAGCAAATAGGAAGAAATCGACAAGATTGAACGCGAATCTGGTATACCGTATGAAAACCGGCCGCTGCTCTCCCTGGAGAAGGAGAGCAGCGGCAACCCTAATCTCTCTCTATCTTTACGCCTCTGAACTCTAAGCATCTATTCGATCATTTGGGTTCCCATAAGTTAGCCTCCTTTTATAGGAGAAGTTGGCTAACTTACGGGTTACAAGGAAGCCCCCGAGCTGATACACATTTGTGGCCCGTATTACACGTTTAATTGATAACTACACAAATACAAAGATAACTAACTAGATTGAACACCATAAAATATTCCCAACAATCTCCCCCTTGGTGATCAATCGTGTTGAATCAGCATTGCAGCGCAGATATCTTTGTCTTTGTTGTTATTGAGCTTCCTTTGTCTTTGAACTTGACTTCTGAAGAAGGCTATCTGAAGAAATCCTTGCAATCTCCCCTTTGATGTCTTCTTGACAATTTGATCTTTGATGCCGGGGGTTGAGGGACCTTCAGTATCTTGCATGTAGTCCTTGCCTTCCAGAAGTTGCTCTTGATCAACTTGGATGAAGTCCGGTGACGCCTCTAGAATGAATATTCTTTGGAGAATAGGAGACGCCCATGGAATTCATCTTCAGGACACGAGTATTTGACCTCTGTCTCCTCCACAATGTAGTCTTTTTGACTGTTTGGAATGAATGTTTTTGAGGAGAACTTGTCGGTGGCACAACGGAACATAATGATGGTTGAATTGTGAACGTAGCTGACCATTTGAGTTGAATTGTGAACGTAACGGAGATGGTAGAGAGAGTGTAGGAGGAGAGAAGTGTCCCAGAATGATTTGTTCAATGTTAACAGCATGTGGACCACTCTCCCCCTCATGACGATCCGATGAATCGGGACGTCATGCTTTTATTCTTTTATTCTGCGAAAAAAAAACATGAAAAACAAGCAGAATCTAAAAAAGATAACGTAGCCCCCCGGGGTCGTGAAGACACCCGTTATCATCACTATAGAGATAAACTCTTAAGCAATGGCCTGAAAATGTTGGTGATTCTTATGTTGCAATAGCAGGACTTCCTTCCAATCATTAGTCTACATCTGCAATAGATGAGACCTATGGAAGTTCTCGCGGGTCATGTAGACCTGCAACTGACTCTAAAAGTGCGTCTGTGTCCTAGAAAATTTCAAAACATTTGGGAGTGAGTAACTAGACACGACGTGATCAATGAAAGTTCAGTGGCATGGGGCTGAGGCCACTGTAGTCAGTATTACTTCCCTCGGAAGGAGATAGTAATGAGAGATGCGGTTCCCCGTGAAATATGATTAAACACCTGTCTGTTGGGAGACAAGTGAGTGGTCTAGGGTAGGGTCGTGCATGCGCCGTTTGGACAAAATGCAGCGACTTCTACCCGGGATCTGAATAAATTCAGTCCTGAACCTACGGGGATAGTCCAGAGAAATTTAGTGGCTAGGAGCAAATGTTCAGTTCATAGCAGGCAATTGAGGTAGCAGACTCATCATTGATAATTGTTTTTCTTCTCACTTGAGCCTTCTGCTTCCTAATGCTCATAATGTTCACTAACTCACTCGCTCACTTACGCACTTACGCTCCGCTTTGTCCCTTGGGTAGACTTAGTTGGGTTTACTAAGCCATTTGGACATGTTCTCTCATTACTTTCTTCATTTTCTCTCTGTACTCCCCCTCAACTGGAGCACTCAGTATGCTTTGTCATTGTTAGGCACCGGGAAGGATAACATTGATCACTCCCCCTAGAATGTTGCATCCGTTGAGAGATCCCTTGCTTTGTCAAAGTAAGGCGCCAGGAGGAGAAAACTGAAACTCCCCCTCAGAATGTGCAAGGTTTGATTGCTCACAGCTTGTCATACCCGTCATGTGTGTGGAGCAATCTGAACAACTACCACACATGACGGTTCCCTGAGCTCACCATGTAGAATTTCAGCATATTGAAGATAACATAATGTTGATGAGTCAGGGGAGGCTTCAGCAGTTGATTGTTGATTGTTGTAAGATGACCGTTGACGCGAGGTTGATTGAATTTATCTACGATTTTCGGACCTTTACAGTTAGGTTTAGAAAATATTTGACCTCAGGGTCGACTTTGAAAGAATTTGAACAGATTTGTCTAAGTTTTGACCTGGACATCGGTGATTTACAATGTTTGTCGGAAAACTAACGTTTTCACCCTCAAAGGATGCGAGTGAGGGCGCGTGAGATTGGGATCTGGGGCGTAGCACGAGAATAAATGTATATCTTTTCGTTAGCTTTCCAACAAAAAACAAATTGCTCAAATCAGATCACCGAGTCAAAAGTTATGGCCAAAACAGTGCGGTGTCGCAGAAAATCTCAAATTTTGAGTTTTTGAGGAAAATCTTCGAGGTTGAGGTTCTCGATGTTGAATTTCGAGAGCAGGTGAATTTAAACAAAATTCTAAGGCAAAAACTTGAAATCCAAATCTGGAGATTTTAATTTCGAGTTTGCCTTGAAGAGTAATGACGAAATCCATCTGCAAAACAGACCTCAGAATAACGAAATCTTCAGAATTTCAAAATGTTTGGAACCTCGAAAACTTTGGAGTTTCGAAAAACCTCATAATATCGAAAACTTGATGTTTGAAAAACATCAGAACATCGAAAACTTCTAAAACTTTGATAAACAGGGAATCATTCAGATATCTAAAATGTAAAGCTTCGATGAACTGCAAAGGATGTCAAGATTCAAATTATGAGTTCCAAGAAACTGCAAACTTTGAAAGATTCAAAACATCGAGAAATTCCGAAAATTCTGAAATTTTTTAGAATGTCGAAATCCAAAACATCGAGTTCCTAAAACTCGAAATAAATTCCAAAACTCGCAAATCCAAAACTCTTCAAATTTTAAAAACTCGAGGTTTAAAACTCGAGGTCAGAACTCGAGGTTTAAAAACTCGAAGTCAGAACTCGAGGTTTAAAAACTCGAAGTCAGAACTCGAGGTTTAAAACTCGAGTTCATGACCGCGAGTTTACAAACTCGAGTTCATGACCGCGAGTTTACAAACTCGAGTTCATGACCGCGAGTTTACAAACTCGAGTTCATGACCGCGAGTTTACAAACTCGAGTTCATGACCGCGAGTTTACAAACTCGAGTTCATGACCGCGAGTTTACAAACTCGAGTTCATGACCGCGAGTTTACAAACTCGAGTTCATGACCGCGAGTTTACAAACTCGAGTTCATGACCGCGAGTTTACAAACTCGAGTTCATGACCGCGAGTTTAAAACTCGAGTCCATGACCGCGAGTTTAAAACTCGAGTCCATGACCGCGAGTTTACAAACTCTCGGTTTTAAAAACTGTCGAATTTTGAGAATCTGAAAACTGTTCTGAATAGCCCTGAAGGTCGCGATCCCTCCTGTATCTGTTTCAAGTCAAAATCGTTTCTGCAGCAGTGTTCAAAGCATAAACTCGCAATACATTGAGAGTTCTTCAAAAAATGAAAATTTGCAGAAATCGAAAAAGAGTTTATGCTGTTGGATCGGCTTTGAAGGGCGATTCCAACAGTATAATTTTTACAGATTTTTGTTCACAAACAAGATTACAGGAGCAAAACTCTATATGAAGAGAAACAGAAGAAAAGCAGAGCATTCTTCGTTAGATCCAAGAAAATCGCAGATACATTCAACCTGTTTCACGCCTCGGCTCTGATACCAATTGTTAATCCCATAATTTAACAAACAACAATCATAACAAGAAGAATAAGAAGTAGATAGGAAGAAATTGACAAGATTGAACGTGAATCTGGTATACCGTATGAAAACCGGCCGCTGCTCTCCCTGGAGAAGGAGAGCAGCGGCAACCCTAATCTCTCTCTATCTTTACGCCTCTGAACTCTAAGCCTCTATTCGATCATTTGGGTTCCCATAAGTTAGCCTCCTTTTATAGGAGAAGTTGGCTAACTTACGGGTTACAAGGAAGCCCCCGGGCTGATACACATTTGTGGCCCGTATTACACGTTTAATTGATAACTACACAAATACAAAGATAACTAACTAGATTGAACACCATAAAATATTCCCAACATCTATATTTTGTTGTTTGTAGGTTTAAGGCATATCAAACTGTAGAACAACCTACTATTTCTTCTGTTCAGACTTCAGAATCTCCTTTCCTCTCTTCAGGTTTTATACAAAATATTATTATTATTACTTAATAAAGAAGTAAATAAATTGTTACATCATTCTTTAGACTCCCAACAGATTTGATTCTAAGTTGTTTTTAATTTTCAAAATACAAATGATTATAGTGGAATAGACTTAATTTCACATGATTTTGAATCACTTACTTCATTGGTTGACATAGAAAAGTTATTACTAAAAACCAATAAACCTATTGTATTATTTCGGAAACCATCTCTTATGCAAGTATTTACATGTGCATTCGTTAGTTAAAAAAGTAATATATGGACAAATAATTCTACAATAATTTGTATACATTTTGAAACCATAGAGCACATTTCAAGTACAGAATCATATACTAGCGGAGGTGGAATACTGTAGAATGCATTATGAAACCCATCTCTAAATTTAACCAACCCAAGTAGAGTGGTCAAGATTAGAGGCTTTTGTTTTTTACAAAGTATTGTCTTTTAAAGTCTAGAGCTAGGCATGTCCTTTATGGGTCTAAATGACAAACTCATTTGCTACTATAGGTATCATAATATCACTTAAAGGAATACTGATTGACATTGTGTATCTAGGGGTGTCATTGAAAAATTATTTGAAGTGGGGTATTATTTCTATGCAGGGATCATTGGAAAGGCTTATATGGCTGAAATGGTTGAGTATGCTATTTTTTAAGGAAAAGCGTTCGGTGAATGTTTTTAAGCACACAATTATGTCAAAGTCTACTTATTTTTTGTGAGCAGGTTAATGCTACAAGACAGGCCCATAATAATTCTTGGTATACCTACAGCCATCTGTTTGAACAACATTGTATGGGTGTCTCTTGTGCAGATTGGTAATGTGATTAGTCAGGCTCAAACAACAAGGGCTGCATGGGGCTCCCAGAGAATATTATTTGGTTCTATTAAAGGAAATGTGAAGACTCTTGGTGACCTACTGACAGATCAAATTTTTGGACTAGTAGGTATCTTTTGTAATTCTCTTTTTGGGATAAAAGGGTTTTGTTTAGTCACTCTAATAGTTTGAGTTAAAGTAAGCCTAAAAACAACATTCATAAGACAAGAAACATCTAAGAATATCAAAGGATAGTTCATGTCTGTTATGGGTTTCCTATTCATCTTCTATACAGTTAGAGGTAAAAGAATTGAGGTTTACTAGATATTGATTCTGTTATTTTTCTACTTACATTTTGTGTGGCAAAAGAACGGGTTTAGTACATATTGATTTTTTTGTGATCATTTGATGGAACTGATAGTTCAGAGTTTATATGTTCAGCCACAAGTATTAGTAAAATAATAGCTTCTGTTGATTGATGTTCCGGTAAACTTAAATATGATTGATCCAACTCCTTTTTAATTCAATTCAATTCAATTTCTGTTTCATTGATTTAGTTTTTTTCCGCACAATGATCTTTTCCCTTTTTTGCCATGACTTATCTTGCTGCATATTGTTTCATGGAAGCAATTGAGATGGATAATGAAGAGGCTCTATAATATTTTTGATTGTAAAGTATTGAACCATTTCCAGATTTCTTTTTCACTCAATGGAATTAGTCTAGCTTCTTTATTTGAATGTCGTACTCCATTTGGAAATTAATGACTACGAGTGTTAAACAAATAGCTGATGTGCCCTACTTTGAACAGTGTACTGCACCGATCCTCAGAAAACTGGAAAATTTGAGCTACTTATCCCATTGATTTAGTTGATTTCAGTGAAAATGCTTTAAGAATTTTATTTAAGCCTTCGCTGTTTTTTCTCTAAAACTTGCTTATATTTTATCCTTTTTTTGCAGGTCTTTAACGAGATTCTTTCTGCAGAGAATATATACAAGAGACCCACCACTTTTAGCAGGACTTTGAAGAACCATTCAAATGTACTTAGTTTTAAGTGTCCTTTATTCAGTTTATTGTAGGCATATTGATGAGATTTTTTTGCTAGACTTCACTTTGTAGATGTTTTTTTCATTTAGTTTCGTAGTATGTATTTTGATATTCATTATATACCTTTTCGGAACCAAAATAATAATACACTGGTGGGTTATTTAAATAGTCTACACAATGCGTCTGTATTTTGTTTAATAAAAAAAGGCACTTACAACGTCGTTTTTACGTTGCAACCGACGTAATACATATTTTTTTATTTTTTGAAATTATCTTCAACGTCGGTTTTAACCAAACACCGACGTAATATGTAATTTTCAAATTATATACAACGTCGGTTTTTCCACGTAACTGACGTGGTAGGTTATATTTAACTTTTAAAGCATCACTTATAACGTCGGTTCTTTAACCGACATCAAATCTCCTTACCTTTTACGTCTCCTACTTACACGTCTCTTGGAAAACCGACGTGAAAAGTATAAAATAACTGATGTGAAATGTCACTTTTGTAGTAGTGGAATCCTAATCCTAATCCTAATCCTAATAGGAATTCTAATCCTAATCCTAATCGTAATAGGAATCCTAATCTTAATCCTAATAGGAATCCTAATCCTAATAGGAATCCTAATCCTAATAGGAATCCTAATCCTAATCTTAATCCTAATAGGAATCCTAATCCTAATCCTAATTGTTGGTCCATGTTCTATGTATTACAACAATATATATTGATATAACAAAGATTAGAGTAACATAAAGATGAATAAGATGAAAATCGTTGAAACCCCTCTCTGATATACCGTGAACTTGTACACAGAATGATGAGCGCTAAGGCTTTTAAGATCGAATACAAAAGTTACCGCAAACCTGAGCCTTCGATCAGCACCCTTTTATAGGCTGAGGTCAAGTTTGCGTAAAGGCTTTTTAGCCAGGTATATGGGTCTGACAGCTTAGGCCCCATAACCTTTACTACTCTAATAAATACATAACAGTTAATACAAGGAGTAATAAAGGCTAGACTATTACAAGACTTCTGACAAACTTGATTCACAATAAATATTCTTCTACAATCTCCCCCTTTGTGATCAAGTGCCGTCTTGGTTTTATTTCTGAGCTTTGAAGTAATGCTTTCTCATATTTAGCGCATGCTCGTATTGTCTCAATGACCTTCTTTTGTCGAGTTGTTCGCTGATGGCTTTCAGAATCACACACATTCTGTCAAACTCTTTTATCTCTTCATTTGTAGCTTCGGCGAGTCTTCGCTCAATCTCCTCGTTTAGGGGTTGCAGCTTTTCTTGAATGATCTTCAGAGTCCCATCGCAGTATTTGTGAATCTGACTGGTAGCCATCAGACGCTTTTGTTGCTTGTGGTTTAGATAGACCACTGCCGGTGGGGTTTCAAAGATGTGATAAGCCCTAAAGTCTTCGAGCTCTGGTCCGTACAGAATAGGCCTTGCTAGATTTGCCTTGGGTACATTTTTTTCAATAGCCATTTGAATATCATGAGCTGTGTAAAACCGGACTTGTCTGAGCATGAATCTTTTGATTGCCTCGAAGCCTCCTCTGCAGACTCTGTCATGGCTGATTGGCAAGTATCTACAAGCGAAGAACATCTGATATACATCTTCCATCTTCATCATAATGAGATCATTCTCTTGACAGATGAATTCGCTTGAATCAGTGCGTCGAAGTTTGAAGCTGTAGAAAGGTATGCTGTAATGAGATTCTTCTTGTATGTTGAGGATGTCAGAGATTGGATGTATGCTGTTCTTCAGATCTCTTTCCAGGACTTCTCTTTGTTTTCCACTAGATCTGTGGCTGAGCATGTTTAGATGTCCACCGACATGTTTGCCCCTGAGATGGGTGGGTCCTCTAAGCTTCAGCTCATCTAATTGCTTGACTTTCTCCGGTTTTCTCCAGATGTGCTTTCTGAGTTCCTCTTGGAAGGGGGCATTAATTCTTTTTTTGGATAAACTGTAAATATATATATCCAAAGTGTATATGTACATGTGAACAGTAGCAAAACAACAACAAAAAGGGGTCATCCCAAGTAAGGATACCCTATCAACACCAAAAAGACTCCTATCTAGCTACATATGTATGCTAGCCATCACAAAAGATTGGTGACAAACCGCAAAAAGATCAGAATGTTATCCTATTAATTGGATACATAGAATACAAAACTCTATACACCATGAACTTAATCTGTTTAACCATTTCTCTCACCATGGGCGTAGTCTTCTCAAAACATATCATGTTCCTCATCCTCCAAGTCCAATAAACGGTGTAGCAAAACGAAAGTCTAACGACCTTGGCTTTAGCATGTGCTCCATTATGCTCCTTCTTTATCCATTTGATTGCACTCAATAGTGTAGACATTTGTCTTGAAAGTCCAAGCCAATGCCGTACCAAATCCCACACTTGACCTGTAAATGAGCATTCAAAATATAGGTGTGACTCCGTTTCTGGGCCACCCTTACAAAAAGGACAAACATTAGTTACATCCAAAAACCCCAATCGATCATACGTGGCTAACCTACCCCGAAAGGCTAGCCAAGTAATGAACGAGAATTTGGGGGGAATATAGTTCTTCCAAATCAAGGGCATCCACGGGTGGATGCTGCCTTTGGTTCTTAGTAAATCATACACTTTAGAAGAGGAAAGTTTCCCATTTTGGGAGAACTTGCCAAGGCATTCCACGGCCAAGTCTAAAGAAGGGAACTTTGATACAATCAAGTCCCGGGCATTTCCAATGGCCTTCATAAGTCTAGAATCCTTTTAGTGTGAAAAAAGTCCACACCTCCCTACCTTGGAGGTAAACCCCATGTACCCATTTTACCCACAAAGAGTCTTGTTTAGAATGGATATTCCATAGAGTACGGGATAGTAAGGCATTATTCCACACCTTAGTATCCCTTAAACCCAAACCCCCCTCATTTTTGGGTAGACACACATCACTCCATGCAACCTTAGCCTGTTTACCACCCCAAAGGAAAAGCCTACAAAGAGAGGTAATTCTATCAAGAATGGTCCTCGGCATAGGGAAGATGCCAAACCAAAAGGCTTGAACACCTTGCATAACCAAAGTAATCAACTCAACTTTCCCCGCATAAGAAAGGGTTTCTGGGTTCCAAGCATTTAAATAATCTGTAACCTTGTCAATCAGAGGAGAGAACTGAGCTACAGATATATTTAAAGGAGCAAGTGGAATACCCAAATATCTTACCGGAAAGGATCCTTGTTGAAAACCCACTCTTTCTAGAATATATGGAATTCTACTCTCCATATTACCACCAAGAAATATGTTAGTTTTATAAAGATTGACCATGAGTCCAGAAACATTACCAAAATCAGTCAAAGCATCAACTAAAATCTTGATTGATTCATAATTTCCTCTAGAGAACAACATCAAATCATCAGCATAAGCCAAATGAGTTATTTTGAGCTTGGAGCATAAAGGGTGATAACGGAAGCTAGGATTTGAAGCCCTAATTTCTACCAACCTGGAGAAGTACTCCAAGCAAATAACAAACAACAATGGTGGCATGGGATCTCCTTGTCTTAACCCCCTCTTTCCCTCAAACCAACCATGGAGTGATCCATTTATGGAGATAGAAAAAGAAGAGGTTGCCACACATTCCATGACCCACTTCACAAATAAAGAAGGAATCCCAGTATCCAATAAAACTTTTTCAAGAAAATCCCATGATACAGTATCATATGCCTTCCTAAGATCAATTTTAATCATACATCTAGGAGAAGGCCTTTTTCTAGTGTATCCCCTCACTAACTCTTGTGCCAAGAAGATGTTGTCAGACATCTATCTCTCATCAACAAAAGCTCCTTGTGAAAGGTTAAGAACCCCAGAAAGACAAGGCCCCAACCGTGATGATAATATCTTACTGATGATCTTATAAGTCACACTAGTACATGATATAGATCTAAAATCTGATACCGTGGGGGAATGGTTTGTCTTAGGGATGAGAGAAACCACAGTGTGGTTCACTTGCTTTAGCATAGTCCCTGAAGAAAAAAATCCTTCACAGCCTCACAAACATCAAAACCCACCAGATTCCAATCGTTTTTGAAAAATGATGATGAGAAGCCATCCGGTCCGGGGGCTTTGTCATCACCAATGTAAAAAACAGCCTCTATAATTTCCTTATCAGTCATAGGGCTAATAAGGTCATTAATGAGTGAGTGATCAATGATCCTACCAGATGTGATCACACCAGGGTCATAGTCATGAATAGGTATGCTTGTACCAAAAAAACTTTGAAAAAAGAAACAAACTCATTAACTACATGATCCAAAGATTTGGTAAAACTTCCATCTCCTAATCTTAAAGAAGCAATAGAATTTTGTGCATTTATCTTCTTCATAATGGAATGAAAATACTTAGTACATTTGTCAGATTGCAAAATGTGATTGACCTTAGCCTTTTGTTTCACATAGGCTTCCTCGGCCTCTTTCAAAAAAAGTGCTTTCTTTTTTGCTTTTACTAATTCCTCTTTAAGGGCTTCATCCGAAGGAGATGAGAGAGCTAGATGATAGATCTCTTATACTCTTTCTTAGACACATTTGCCCTAGCCGTGGTGTGACTAAATTCATCTTTGTTAAGTTGTTTGAGGGGTCGTTTAAGAAGTTTCAGTTTTCGTGCAAGCCTAAATTGAGACGTACCAACAACATCCCTATTCCAAACACTCTCCAAAATGCTATGAAATCTTTCATGTTTAAGCCACATGTTAAAAAATTTGAAGGGTTTTGACCCTATACAAGTCATTGCTCCAATGCTAATCAAGGAAGCAACATGATCAAACTCACATTCCATTTCAAGGAAATGAGCTTTACATGTTACGTTATGTTGACACCAAAAGGAATTAATAAGCACTCTATCCAATTTAGCCTAAGTAGCACCCCTATTCCAAGTAAAAATTTCACCGGTAGAAGGGGCATCACTAAGGTCAGATCGGATTTTCATATCATTTAAATGTTGCATTGCATAGGCCGAAGGTGGGGCAGAACCCCTCCTCTCACTTGGAGAGCCTACACAATTAAAATCACCTAAAACAGCCCATGGTGCAAGAATATTTTGACTTAGACCGGTTATATATGTTCCCATAACTCCCTTTTTTGCACAATTGTATACAGTGCATAAACAAAAGTCACATAAAAAGGCATTTGTGT